TGACATAGTCTAAGGTCAAAATGTTTGTTCAGAATGTCGCAGTTCTTTATAGATTTTGCGATAGAGAGTATCTTTTTCCATACCACTAACCCGTATTAAACCGTCTTCCAAATCTTGCATTTTCCCATCTTTGATTTTGTTTCTAGCACTCATACGTCGTTACTTTATTAAGTGTCATAGATGAAGTGAACGAACCACGAGTGACTAACACTCAGTCGTTTGCCTGCGTGAGCTTTGAAAGTCAGAAAGCCAGCTGCCGAATCGAAAGATGGATGTTTTGGGCCAGTTTCTCTAGTAGTCAAGCAATATTCAGCGGTAACCTTATGCTTCGCATAGTTTCACATTTCTGGCAGAGTTGAAAATTTTGTGAACCGTCAAGCAGAATTCTGCAATCCAATAGATCAAACTATCTGAATTATGTCTTAATTTTTGGGTATACTCCATACGTTGATGATCACACTAGGCAGTGAAACTATTGCTTAGACCAAGACGAGTTACAGCCCTAAGAAGTGCACGTGTCCCACAGTACGACCTCATGCACCTCAACATCTTGGTACCTGTTTCTCAGCAGACTGACGTAAGTAGTCCTATGAAGCTAGTGGAATTTAACGGCTAATAGAATTTTTGCTTTTGTACATGTTATATAGTTCTTTGAATCGCTCTCCTCTATAAATATATCTGAACAGTCAGCCACCTATGTCCACCTCTTGAGTATTCAGTCCAAAATTATTGGCACTGGTATGCCATCGGCATTAGAAATTAATGTTGTCATTTGGTATAAACACTTATTCAATAAAATATGGCTGGAATACTAGTTTTTTTTTCAATTAGATGCGATTTTCTCTATACAGGTGGCATTCTGGCATAGGGTTATTGGTGTTAACTTGAATGCAAAGACAATATACACTCACGATAATCAGGGTTTACAAGCAAAACCTGCCCTGCTTAAGTGAGAACTGGAAAGTGACTCGGGAGCCCCCTCCGATAGGTTAGAATGGTTGCTGCCCACAAATTGCCAATGACATCCATCCGTTACCAAAACCCCACAAGTTGCCCCACTTCGCTTAATCCATTGGGCTAGATGAAGGTTCATGAGACATCAACAATAGTTCACAAGGGTTGGCATCTACTTTAAAGACTGCCAAATGGCCACTCACAAAACAAACGCTCAAGAATGGAGAAGACTGGAGGACTTACGAATTGTGTTCATGGCGTACCCACAACGAGCAGAGGACAAATAAGAATGAGAAGCAAAAGTTAGTCTCCCGTTGCTGCCCATCAGCATGACAAGGACAAGTTTCTCTTCCAGACTCGCAGCATAGTCGCAACGCCCCCACCTCACTGCTTCTAGTCGCTAAGAAATCTTTTAAGCCGGCCATAACTTGTTGGATTTTTAAAACCTCCAGTGCATGGACTCAAAATGGTTTCATGGTCCTAAGTCAAACAAAACCACAATATAAGCCAGCTTAATACACATCAATCAATGCGCATATCATGGATAATTTATCTGCTCATATATATCTACAGATCGATGTATATCCGGAGTACTGGTATAGTGCTTTTTGTTGACCTGACAGGGTTAGTTAGGTTATGCATTCATGCACTTCAGGGACTGTAATACAAAAGAGCTGTGGTCTTTCTTTGAGTCTTGTCTCCAAAAGGTACCGTAGGTTTCCAGAAACAATTTTAAAAAATCTGTATATTCTATATTCTGCTAATAGTGACAGTCGTTGATATATGTAGTATCCGTAATTTGTTGTCTGGCTTGCCCTCGCTGTTGATACGCTCTTCTGACATTCTCTATTTTTCGCTTCCCGTCTCCATTGCTGACCAAGTACTTTGACCATGTGATCATCCCAGAGTGTTCTTCGACGATCCGCTCGACCTTGGCTGTCAGCGGAACCCAGTTTGTAATCCTTGAAGTGCATCGGTTATCCTTTCGACGTCATAGAAGGCAGAAATTAGGTCTGTTCATCTAATCTGTTGTTGAACGTGTGCACTCGAAGAGGGATCCTTGAAGGACAGCATGCACACCTGTGCCCCATCCCTCTTTGCGTACCCATCAGTTGGATCTCATCAGCTTTAGTAGTAGGCCAGCATTCAGCGCCGTCTCTCATGGCGCCAAAGACGGATGATGGAGCAGTTGATTTTTCGCCCTCATGGTCAGCTTACTGTCGAGTAATGACAGTTAATGCGATTAAAGCTCACCCACTCCGCTTTCCTTCGCTGATTTCCCCGTCTAGCGCATTCGTGCAGTTCCCTGCATGGTCACGGTATGCACAGCAAGGGACTTTTGCTGGTTCTTTTCCGTTAGTGAGGTAGAGCCCTTGAGACAGTGCTCATTTTGCATTCGTTTCGTCTTAGAGAGGTTGATCTCCAAATCGGAGGTGATAGATTCTTCTCGCAACTGCTGGATCTTCTGCCGACGCCCCATCATGAATTAATGAGATAGCATCTCTTTTTTCACACTCCTCGGTGGATGCTGACGCGACATCGTTCGCAACCGATGTTCATTTCCTTGACCAGGTTGGCGTAAACATGGCCTATGTCATATTTTTGCAACGCGCTTAGCACAGCCCCTCAAGTCCACCGAATCGAACGTCTTCTCGTAATCGACGAAAGCGAATCAAAGTGGCAGGGCAGTTGCTGCATTTCTCCGTCAGCTGCTGTATATATTAAGTTCTTGCCAAATGAAATACCAAATATATAGTAGAAAACTGTTCAATCAGATAATAAATGCAGATATATGACAACTGCATAGGAGGTAAAACTAACGATTATGAGCCTGCATGCTGACTTGATGACGTTGGTCATCACCAGAGCAAAATCGACCCCTAAAAGTGGAAGCCTTGAAACTGGGAACAGTGGGGAGCGTTACTGTGTGAAGAAAGAGTTTTCGATAAGTAAACAAATAACGGATTAAATATAGAAATTTATACAGTGAATGTCTGTCAGTCTTATAAATTCGAACTCTCGTCTACGCCTCCACGCTCTGACCTAGCGACACTCGTGACCTTGCGCAGTCACCATAACGGAATCATGAAATAAAAAGCTTCAAATTTCATAAGTTTGATTGCAGCTTCTTATTTTGCTCACGGTGAGCTTTGTTTGATGCATAAAATGATGGGGTTAGACGAAACACTTTATGCATGTTGATGACCATATTCCAGTTGTGCAATTCAAAACTAAAATCGCAGTACTGGAGGCTGAGAGCAACCTCTGGTCCATGTCAGATTAC